ACAAGTTGCGCGCTCTCGGCTACAGACGGCGCTTACGCGGTCCGCCATCCAGTTTTGCGCGGCGTGAGTGCACGTCCAACGGACAGCCGCTGTGCGGTCATATTCAGAATTAATAAACAACAACTGGTTTGTCGAAGGCAACAGGAAAAAAAACGCGGCTCATATCTCACAGAGCTAGCAGCAGCAGTAGCTAGCCTGCAGTGTTGTGGCGCTCGCCTCGGATCGTCGCAGGGATAGAACGCGGGGGAAGATAGTGCGCGACCTTGGTCTAACCCTCATTTATCACTAGTGCCAACATGACGTGACTCTACAAAACGCGCAGAAGGTAGAAAAACTCCGCATCGTCGCTTGCCCCGTGACCCTACCTACATCGGCAGAGTCGCGCCGCCGACGCCCGGCGTAACACGCAACACCGGGCCACAGCAGCGCCGCCCGACCTTATAATAAAATTATCCACACTACCACCATCAGCATCACCACCGGTAAGCAGCAGCATCCCACCAACCACATCACCCCATCACCACCATCACCATCATCACCATCACCACCGGCTGACAGCAGCAGGGCATACCACAACTACCATCCACCACCACCTGCAGCAACAGCGAGCAGCAGCATCACCACCGCTACGAGCAGCAGCGCCCACCACACCACCATCCAAACCATCCACCATCACCTCACCCACTACCACGGGTGTTGTGTAGAGCTAGCTAGCATTCACCACAACCAGCCACACATCATCGCCACAGCTGCAGCAGCTAGCATCACCACAACCACCATCACGCCATACCTACTAGCTGCAGCGCAGATCACCACAAACCACCATTATCAACAGCGGCAGACAGCAGCGCAGCAGGCATCACACACCACCCATCACCACCATTCACCCAGCTGCAGCAGCAGCATCACACAACGCACCATCACCACCATCACCACCATGCAGCTGCAGCAGCGAGCATCACCACCAACCACATCACCACCATTACACCCGAGATTGCAGCAGCAGCATCACCACAACCAACCATTATCACACGGCAGCCGCGCAGCAGCAGACCAGCATCACCACAAACCACCAGCACCATCACCACCGGCAACAGCAGCAGCTCGAAATGAGTGGTTCTTAACCTTTTTGGAAGTACAGACCGGACCCTTTGAGAATCTGGTGAAAGCTATCTAACCCTTCCCTCAGAAAATGATAAAGCACATAACACAAAAATTGTGATACACTGGAGTTCACGGAACCCTGAAGCCATCCACGGACCCCCTGAAGCCAGTCCACGGACCGCCTAAAGCCCATCCACGGACCCTCCGAACCCTTTCACGGACCCCCTGAAGCCCAATCCACGGACCACTGAAGCCCATCAACGGACCCTGAAGCCCATCCACGGACCCGGCTGAAAGCCATGCCACGGTGCCTTGAAAGCCATCCCACGGACCCTGAACCATCCACGGACCACCTGAAAGCGGGGGAGAGAGAGACAGGGTTACTCGGGGCGGGGAGAGATGGTCTGTACATTTACAATCCTCGTTAAAGCGAACAGGGCTTCAGCACATGAACGTTGACATCTGAGTCTACTACGGACGGATAAAAACGCACACATACACAATTACATTCGTTTGCAGCGTACAACTATGGGGTTGCGTGCGCGTAAGACAATACGAAGCGAAAGATGGTGGAAGAGGTAAAGCTGCGGTGCATTGTGTGTGTGTGTGTGTGTGTGTCGGGTGCTGTGTGTGTGTGTGTGTGTGTGTGTGTGTGTGTTAAGTGGTCGTGTGTGCTGTATGTATGTGTGATGCGTCGACGTGGGCCGTGCGTGCGTGTCCTCGTGCGTCGTGCGTCGTGTGATGTGGTGTATGTGTGCTTGTGTGTGCGGGTGTGTGTGGGTCGGGCTTGTGATGTACACTGTTGTTGTTGGTGTGTGGTGTATGGTGTGTGCGTGCATGCGTATGTGTGTGTGAACATGGTGTGTCGTGTTGTGGTGCTGTGTGTGTGTGTCGTGGGTCAATGGGTGGGTCGTGTGTGATGGGTTGGTACACTCTGTCTGGTGTCACCGGTGGATACATGACTCAGTTTGCTGGTGGTTGTTGTGTTGTGTGGCTGTGTGTTGTGAGTGTGTGTGTGTGGTTGTGTCAATCGGATGTGTGGTTGTGATGTTGTCTCTGTGTTGGTGTGTGTGTGTGTGTGTGTGTGTGTGTGTGTCGGTTGTGCGTGAGTGTGTGTGTGTGTGGGTGTGCATTGTGTGTGTGTGTGTGTGTGATCGTGTGGAGTGTGTATTTTAGTGTGTGCTGTGCGTCGTGCGTGTGCGTGTGCCTGCGTGTCATGAAGGTGAGTGAGTGTGTGTGTGTTGCGGTGTGTGTGGTGTGTGCGAATGTGTGCGTGTGTGTTTGTATGAGTGTGTGACGGCGTGCGTGCGTGGATGTTATCTCTCTCTATGACGCTTTGATATAAATTACATATAAACGGGGTCGTAGACAGGCGATTTCAGCTATGGACTTTGATTTTATACTGGCAATTATAATCCACTTTGATCAGAATTGCTATTGCGATAGTGTATTTTATTTTTCCGCTACAAAATTCGAATAGGTTGTGGACAACGTAGCGTGAACCTATGCAGTAATTCATGCACGTGAAAAAGCATCCTATCCGTCCTTTCCTATCCTCAAACTTTACCCTCACCTTTGGCTGACACTATAACTGGGCAAGTGATTATAGTTTACGATGGCTCATGTGACCTTCGTGCTCATCTGGAGCCAAGCATGCTGTTCATACTAATTAAGCGCAAGTGATGCAGGGCACATGAATGACAGGCACATTAAATAATAAATCTGCTAGGATTTAAATAATAAAGTTGTTGGAGGGCAGCAAAAGTAGTGCCGCATAATACTGAAAGGTCAACCTGTTTTCTACAATCACGTAGAACACACACCCACACAAAACTGTATAAATAGATAAGGATATGCAAACATCAACATTATCTGCAGCGCTTCCCTGTCAGTTGTTATCTGAGCTCGCCGAAAAGTAAGTGTAAATAGTTTTCTATGGTTTTCTAAGTCGTAAACTTTAAGAAGCATGTTTTATTTATTTCCTATTGACATTGAACTATTATCTGTTAACAATAATACAATTTTACTTTCCTAATCAATTTTGTTGGCCAAGGTTCCGTTGGCTATAGTTATTAAACAGAGTAAATCGTTTAATATTTCGGTTAATATACATTTCTTTATTTGGTTTACAGGTCAATATGAAAGCCGTATCTATAATCTGCGTACTCGTTGTCCTAATGTTGATGGTACGTATAAACCATACATTTAGTTAGAGATTTTTACGGTATCTATGTTTTATTCGATTATTAAACTTAGCTGGTAAAATTGTGCCGAAGGTTCACGGACGCTGGTGAGAGTCAGATACTGGTGAATGCACTTGTGCATAAGACACTGATGCTAATCAGGTTTTGGAACGCGTTCACAATGCGTGTTTCAATCCGACTCGATGACGTCGCTCTGTTTACCAATAACTAGCACAAAGCATTCTTTAGTTTCCTTTTACACACCTGGTTGAAAACACCTAAAACACGCGAAACCTCCAATCACTGTCTTGGTAGTAACAAATTCTCCGTTGTAGACAACGGACTCGGCCCACCAACTCTAACTGAAATGTAAGAATGTCCCACATACATTTTGTATCAGCAAGAGATTTCTCTGATCTTTAACGAGCCTGCGTCAAATATTGATCCTGAACGACGGAATTAGTGGAGCTAAATGACAAAAACCAAACCATTCCTGTTACAATGTATGTTAATAAGGGGCGGGTTGAAGATACAACACTGTTTTTTTAGTGTAGGCCTACGTTTGCAATCCGATTGATTTTGAACTATATAGTTTGGATTTCGAGGTATTTAACTCTATTTTAACCGAAAAAATGTTTTGCACCAAACAAGCTTGTAATCAGCCGTGCAGTCGCGAAAGAGGGGCTGGAGCGTTATAATCCCCTGAACCCCATTCTAGAACCACCCATGTGAGTGATGTACTGTATTTCGCTTAATCAACAACGCATTTTCACCTATAATTTTGCCAAACGTTATTTCTCAAATTCACCAAGTAACACGTGATTAATTTCATTTTACCCATGCTTATTAACATTAATAACAATGTTATTTTACGGTAAATCTATTAAATTATAATCTGTTAGAAAACGTTTCGAAAAAACTGGTCTGCTTAATTACATACTTGTTAACGTTTAACGCCATTATACTAGATCCAATTGGTAATTTATACAGCCTCATCTCAGACATGTATGGTTATTGTCAGGTTGCCGCCGTCACACCAACTGATTATGGTGGGTATGGGCATCGCTCGTACTACCCCAGACGCTATGGATACGGCCGAAACTATGGTAGATACGGCCGAAACTATGGTGGATACGGCCGAAATTATGGTAGATACGGCCGCTATGGTGGATATGGCCGCTACAGTAGAAACCGTTACAGAGGAAGATATTACGGCTAGAAGATTTGATATCGACACTATACGTAAGTACGTTCGCTTATGCAATCAACGGTCGTGACGCGGAAAGCTACATATAATAAGCTATGGGCATATACCTGCAAACATATTTAATAGTAGAGTAACCATCCTATATACGATGTTTAAATTGTGTCTATCTCAACAAATTGCGCAGAGACATAAGTACTCATAAGCTATCAAGTATTGTCCATTACGCATGAATGGTTTTCCCTTTTTAGGTAGATGCTCGAGTACAGACATGACTCATGGGATTCCGTTCAAGATAGATAATGCTGATGATAGTGTAGATATTTTACAATTTCACCGTCATTCCATAAGCAATATATAGTAAGCGGTGAGAACAAAATGTTCACATCTCACCCCCATATCGGGGCAAAGCGTAAAATCTTACCAATAATTTGTAGAATCTATACAAGTACCTGAATGTAGAATTAGTTTAATATAAACATTGGCTCAAATAAATTCCTAAAACGTTTATCGGAAAGCAATTTCTGTGTATTATCATAATTACTGATCCGAATAATTGTACTTCGTAATAGGAACATGAATGCTAATACACATACATTTACTGGAGTAATAATATAATAGACAAACTATCAATATATATATATATAGACAGACGCTTATGTTTATGACATAGACAGATCCATATATTAGACAGACCATCTATTGTATCATTCTTCATACAGACAAACATATATAATATAAAACCTGTGTAAATCCTCAGACGTTCATGATCTATCACGATGACAGTGCACCTACAGGACAGTCTTTTGCTTGCTGTTGATATCACCAGTTAAAACGGCATCTTTCCAAATTATATCATAACTTAAAAATATCTTGATATTTCCGTGGTATAGACCGCATCGCATGTACTATAATCGTCAATAATACTACAACAAACATATATACAACGATATAAACGAAATGAATAGTAAGTATAGATATCTGTGCAAGTACTGTGTGCTGCATTTGTGTATATTAACAATAATGTTAAAAAAACAATCGCGTACATCATTTTTTGAATATAACATTATACCAAAGAAAACGTCAAAGGCGAAGCTGTTAACGCATACACGGTAAGACACACTAGCGTGCGTACGTACGTAAGCCAGCACTCACAAACGCCTGTATAAGTACGCATGTACGTGAGTCCGCACGCACGCATCTACTATATAATAGTGGAAGGAGCCGAAGTGTCGTTTTACGTATCTCCTCCGAAACCGTGCATTGAGCATCATGAATGGTTTCCGATGTAGAAGTATGTGAATGTGTGTTAACAATTCTATTCATCAACAACTTGAACGAAAACCGCGGTCGATTACCACTATTCAAGTCAGGGCGCCACAGTTGGCGAGTCATTGGGCGTGGGCAGGCTAGATGTCTCATTTCTGCTGCCATCACCCCAACGACCCCGTCTCATCATTGTTAATAAACTCTGGGCACCATAATCCCGTATCTAATAATGTGGCGGATCTTAACCAAAACTGGAGGCAAAGAAGGCTAGCATGGTTGGCGTTCAGTAAACGTCCCCTACCGCTACATATTGGCGATCAACGTAGCGACCCTGCATATACACGACCACACACACACGCACACACACACACAAAACGTCACACCACACACACAACACCACACAGCACGTCACACTACCACCACTCCCTGGGCTAAGCTACACAGGCACACGTCAGCAAACACACCACACACACGGGCCACACAGCCACCACAAGCAGCAGCCCGGAGCCGGCAACAGCGAGCCCAGCCGCACCCGCTGCGGCGGGCACACCACCAGCACAGCCCACACCGCACAGGCCGACACAGGCCCCTCCCCCTCCACCCCAGCATGCACGCACACACATCAGGCAGGCGTAGCCAGGAGGATCCTGAGCGCCCCGCCCGCTCGCCCCCCGACGACGCCTGATTGCGGGAGTTCTGCTGAAACGGTCATGCTTATAAGCGGTAGAGAATTATGGTGTTAGCCGCGGGATTATTTATTGTTTGTCGCGTATAACAACATAGTCCATTGTATCAATTCTTAATTGTCGCGTATATATTAGTGTTCCTTGACGTCATGGAAGTTATTGACCGTAGCGGCAGCCGGTGTGTGCTCAAGTTTGACTTCGCCTGGGAACGTAGTTTCCAATAATGCACTCCACTGCTGGGCAAGCAGTCATACTACCATTAGGCCTACGTGCTACAATAACGACCATGTGGAAATAGCCTCCCATTGTTTATAAGCCGACCCAAAAATGTAACCGGTTCAAGTGCACAGTCACCTAAAATTAGTTTAAATAACTTTAATGTTAAACTTAATTACAAATCAAGCATAACAGGCTGACAAGAGTTGAGACTCTCACAGGATATTAAAACACGTCAATTACTCTCTCGTGAAAATCGGGTCGCAGAAGTCAGCTTATCGTGAGGCGAAATGTTACTAAGACATCACCATTAGTTCATGCCGTAAAATAACCATTCTCACGACAAGTGCTGGCAGCCAAGATCGCCAGCCTAGAGGCCATTACCTTTTCAAAACATTTGTAATCGGGAGCTGGGTTAATCTACACGCCCGAGACCTTTAGAACCCGCGCCCCACACACCCCGGGCCCCTAGGGTGCTTCGCGGAATCAGAGACAGGTGCGAGCGGCTGTTCGGTTTTGCCCCAGCCATTCATGCCTGTTTCGCGATCAGTGATAAAGTGTTCAGCTGGCTGTTGTAATAAGAACCCCCCCCCAGCACACAACACCACTTTTTTTTCTACGCTGGCTACGGGCTTATTGCCGACTTCACCCCCAGAGCACAGGCACACACAGCACACCCACCATCAGCACACACACAGCACAACAACCCCTCACACCGGCACACACACAGCACACACGACACAAAGCAAAACAAACACAAACACAAACGCACCACACACAACACACACACAGACTCACACACACACACCTCACATTTTTCTAATCTGTTTTTAAGCTAGGTAGAGTAATCGAATAAGAGGCACGAATGCCGCAAATACTAACCAGAACTAAAGTACCCGGTTCATCCCATACGGCATCAACATTGAATCAAGAAACCTTTGACCATACCATACCATGCAGGACGAGAATTCCATTTTAAATCGATAGATGCGACTCTCATATTTACCGCTGCGACCAAAGTGAACAGAAAATGCACGACTAAATAAGTTTACTCTGTTTTATAAGAGCAAGAAAAAGTCTAGTGCAGCAAAAAGGATTAGGGAAACAATTATTGTTGAAGGATTCAATATTGTTGTTCAAATATCAATACATGAAAATACTGGAACTACTGCATGTCCGCGCGCGCACATGCTATCGGAACGTATGACATAAACATCTACATCACTCACAGCGTGCGCTTAAGTAACAACAAATTGTAGACATCGAGATATATGATTGTGGGTATTTGCTGATGGTTATGCCGCATGTCCAGCAGTCGTAGGCAAACAGGAAAAAAAGGTAAGTTGTTTTTTTTGTGGTCCAACTAGCAATTGGGTTAAATGTGACTGAAATAAATCCATGTTTGAATACAAACAACTGAAATCGCGCACAAGATTTTACCATTATCCCCCTGATATATAGAAAAATCGTGATGCTTGTCACACTAACGAAATATATGCAATAATGTCGCATCATTATACAGTTTGTAACTCGACACGATGCCCTTGTCATAAAGGTGAACCACATAATAACATAATAGGCTTACGCTAAGCCCGAATTGGTAGTGCAGGCCGAATTAGCAAACATACACATGAAAATTGGTACAATCCAGGCCAAAAAATGTCGCGCCACACAAAGTCGTTTCTACACGGTTCATAGCGTCGAGAATGTCTCTAGTGTGAGCGGAGCGGCCAGACTCGGCAGCGGTAAAAGTAGAGGTCGCGGAGGCCTTTCCTAACTGCGAAGTGGGTACTCACACTATCCGCGGTGGGTGTCGCCTACTGGTGGTGGGGCAGGGCCAGACAGTTCGGCAGCGTGGGAACTGCTCGCTGCATGATGGACTGCAATATTCCATGGGCTTATATGGGGTAGTCAAGAGAGCACATGGCGTCCCTTGTTACGCCTGTACGTCGTCTCGCGTCTCTGTGGCGGACGTGGTAGCGACCTAGCAGCGATCAAGCTAATTTTGTGACAAGTGGCTGGCTTCGCCAGCGAACCGGTATATTCGCCTGATTAGATGCGTATCGCATCTTTGGGTTGACGTGGACCTAGGAGTTTGTCACGGAGCCATGTGCGAGTGCTCACAATAAAGACTGCTCCCAACAGCTGGGCTCGGGAACACACCAGCATCCACACACACCGTCGCCACACACGCACACACAGCACACACACACCACAACACACACACACACAGGAACAG